TAATTGTGCTACACTCATCCTAGAGAGATGTGGATGTAATCTCTTGTTCAGCTGCCTCCAAAGCAGCTGTTGCACAACACCCATATTGGTAAAGATGCGCCTACCTCCGAAATTGTTGCTTCATACCCACACCAGAGACGATGTTTCCTCAATCTTACTTACACATTTACCTCTGAAACTGCTGCTGATTCACATTCACATCATACACTGAGTCATTTTATTATATAAGTTACCAAGTAAGTGCAATTGACAAAGAAAAACCCATTTTATGTTTAAAATAACATGACAGTTGGAGGAGCTGCACATTGTCCTCACTCTTATTATGACAGACAAATTTAGCTGCATGATCATATGTCATATCAGAAGGCCTGTTCAGAGTGAGGATAAATCCTTCTTAGCAAGAGTGTTGTCTTCATTTTTTTAATATTGCTGAAGTTACAGAAGGTGCAGTGTAGAGGAATAACTTGGAGCAAAAATGCAGTTTTTTATGGAAAACTTTATCCCCATCTCACGCTATTTCTCTTTTTGTTCTAGGAATATTTGTCCCCCAAAGTTCAGTGGAGCCCTGGTCTAGAGTCTAGCTCTAACAGCTCTTGGCTCCGAGACCCACAAGCTTCCCTAATATTTTCACTTCCCTTCTGCTCTTACACTCGGTGTTGGGTTGTGGCCTGTTGTATTTTCTCTGTGGCTCTGCCTTTACCCATTTTTGCAGATTCTTGCTTTTCAGGCTGTCACCTGTGGATTTTGCCTTCCTGGCCAGTCCCTAACCCTCCAGTATCCCTCCTCTACTCATTCCCCATATTGTAAACCTTTCCTGATGTCACCTCAGTTTCAAACCTCCACTGCCCTTTTCTTCATCCTGTTTTCTCCTTCCCTCACCCTTAACTCAGTTCATTTCCTACTTTGCTTGTTTCTACCTTTCCATTTGTTCTGGGTCCCCAGCCCCCCAGCTTAGCTGCCCCAACCTGCCACACAAACAGACTTCTTTTCCTAAGGCAGCATGAGCTTTCAGTCATGGTCAAACTGGCAAAATTCCCACCCTTCACACAAGCTGGATTGTAAACTGAGAGTTCAGAGCTGCTCGACCAATTGTAAAAACAACACCATTCCAGGTCCTCACACTGGCTCAGCCAATCTGTTTCAGAGGCTTGGCTGCTCAAAACACAACGTAATACAGAGATTTGTAGCATATCATATTGTTTCAAATGTTTCATCTGCCTATGTTGAATGGACGTTTGCTATCTTGTGCCATCAGTTGCATCCAATACTGAACTTAAGACCAAATAAGATTCCTGCTGAACAGCTTTCAAACATGGTTTAAGAAACTGTTCAAATGAATGAAATGCCCTTCCTTGGCTCACCTGGTAAGTGGCAGTGACAACTGAAAGCCCAGGCCTTCTCAAACTAAGCTCTGCTTTGAGTGATTTCACTACTGTACTTAGATTTAAACTAAGCAGAATGTAGGCACTGTTATTTTCTCTCATACACTATATATAGATTTTTAAAACTCCCGGCATACTGGAAAAACCCTGTGTTGCTGCTTCTGATTAGAATAAGCCTGAAAAGGCAGGTGATGTTAGCATCTTGATTTAAGTAGGAGGAAGACAGGCAGCACCAGATAGAAAATTATTTTGGCACTAACAAACCTGGACAAAAGCAGTTTGAAATAAAATCGGTTTAGGGCTGTATTGGAAATGGAGGAAGTTGCTTGTTCTTGCCTCTTTTTCCACTTCCCTTTTATATATTGGTGAGAAGACAGTTAACTTCATGGTGCCTTTTCATTCTTTCATCTCTTGGGATCTTCAGTGAAATAATGTGTTAAAACCTTCTCCAATCCTATCAAGCCTTTTTTTAAAAAAAACCTCTTACCTTCCATGTTCCTGCTTCTTTGTGTCATCACTTAACTCCCTGTGAGTATTTAGGAGATCCATAAAGAGCTATCATACATTTGAGATCTATACACTGCTGTGCTCCAAAATCAAACGAAATACTATAATAGCTAAAGATTTTTGTTGGTATGGTAGGCAAGCAGTAGCTAATCTATAGGACCTGTTCAAAAAAATCTATTCAAGGTGTTATCTGGGAGCATCATTAAAAGTTATTGACCTAGTTCTTCGCTCTTCCACGTTGCAGCACTGCAGTGCTGCTCTTTGTGTGGACAGCCCTGTCGAAGTGGCAGCCTATTCTTCAGCAAGGGGGAAAATACATGGCCAGATGTGACAAAGCTGTGTGTAAATAGACGTGGAGGGCAGAATAGAGTCCTCACTTTCGTAGGCAAATGGGCTGGTCTGTTTGAAATTGAGTAGTTCGGCCTTTTGAATGTAGGCTTTTTAAATGCCTCAAAACCTTGAGTCTCTGTTGAACTAATAAATCTCATGCCAGCTGAAGTTTCGGATGAAAACTACCCCATTAAGAGAGATAATGGCAACATTTCCACACTCATCTGCCAAGCCCTTATGACTGTAGTTTCCTGTGCATTTAGCTTCCCTTACACACAGTGGTTCTGTGCTCATTTTACGAGTATGCATGAGCAACAGCTGTCCGTATGTCCCATGCTGGTGCAATGATGTTTTTGGAAAGGAGTTGGAACAAGTGGGACTCTTCCTCAACTAACTTGCCTTTCATGTGATTCTCTTTAAGTTGTAATGGTGTTATTAAATTACTAAAGGGACTTCTGTTTTAAGACATTTGCTCTGAATGTCTGTTTTCTGTCAATCGTGGCAGCAACCTGCAACCTATAAAAGTCTGGAAATGCAGAAGTATATGCCACACTGATTAATCAAGTCTTCTAACAGCAAATTTGGTGTCCTGACACTGACAGAAATGGAGCCACAATAGGACTAACTGAGAATCAAGGGAGAAATTGGCTTGCTTGGGGGACTGTGAAGTTTGTGGATTTTTTTAAAATTGAAAGGGAGACTCACACATAACAAGCAGCTCAGTGAAGACTGAACATTTGCAGTGGATATCAGGAGCCAAGAAGGTTGCATGTCCTTTGTAACAGAAAATAGGAAAACTTAAGTGGGGAAGGAAGTGAATTAGCTTGCTTGAGCCCAAAAATGCTTCCTATCTTGGAGGGAAGCACGGCTAATTGACTAGAGTACTGAACAAAAGCATCCATGTTGAGGCAGGGGCAACTTGTTGCCTTCCAGATAGTGTTGAAGTGAAACTGCAATCATCCTTCAGCATGGATTATGCTGCCTCTGGCTGATGGGAGTTTTGCCCCTCCCGACAGTATTGCCTATCCCTGTTTATGGGGCAAGGATATACTGCAGCTTTTTGTTTACATTTTTATGCCAGGTTAAATCTGCAAACCTGTGGTGTGCTGTTTCACGTGCAAGACCCAAGCTTATTTCCTCTGCAATTGGCAATCTTTGCCAAAGTTACTGCTTCCTTATACTATCAACCTGCTTTTCTGGACTACTTTACTTCTTCCTAATCTAAAGCTATTGTGGCCTAAGCACCCAAAGACACTGACAAATCATTTGCCTGGACATTTATGTGATTCCATGGGGCATTGGTGACTTTTTCGATTTGCATTAATTTCTCATTCAGTCTTGGCCAAGGGCTCCAGAACAGTCAACTTCTCCTCATGGTCAGATTTATATTCTGCCTTTCCACCAAACAGGATGGTGCACGAGGCAGCTAATGGTAATAAAATCCAATATTAATGTAGTTACAACAATCATTAAAACAAATTGAAAACAATAACAGAAGGAAGAGCAGCACCAAACCCATTAGAACCTGCTTCAGCAACAGCTTATGTGTCAAAGGACTGTTTGCTTGCCCACAGAAGGATGGCAAAGAGGGAGCCGAGCCAGCCTCCCTGGCAGGAAGTCTCACAGTGTGGGGGTGGCCACTGAAAAGGCCCTCGGGAAGCCATTTTTCGGATGCAGAGTAGCATTTTACAGAGATCCTGCCTGCACCGGTGAAAGCGGGGACTGCAGCATGGCTTTCAGATGCATGAAAACAGCAGCCAGCACCTGAAGAGAAACGCTTCCATTGCCTCCACCCCATGCCTGCTTGCTTTAATTTTTTTAAAAAATGTATTCCCTTAATATCAGATTGGATCTTTCTGAGATTTTTTTGCCGGGGGGGGGGGCGGGTGGCATGGAGCAAGCACGATATTGTACAGCACTGTTCCCGCATGCAGTCAGCAGCCGCTGCAGTCGAAGGGAGCTTTGCAAACCCTGGGAGGCCATTCCTTGTCTCAGCACACACCACTAAGCTAGCTGGGCCTGAAGTCTGGCTTCCTAAAAGGGAGCATCACATAGAGACTATCATTCACATTTGTGGCCCCAAATTATAATGGGGGCCACGGAAGCTGCCATGTCATTCCCTTGCTAATGTCACTCTCTACCTAGGCCCTCAGTGCAAAAGCAGATAGATGCCTCTGTTGTTTTTCAGCTTTGCAGAACGATTTGGGCTGATCTGATACTCAGTAGAACTTAAAAACATCAGGTGCCTACTCATTTCCCTGACAAATGCAACTTCGTTTTTAAACCTATGAAATGCAGGTCCATGTACTATCTTCCCAAAGCTCTAAAGAGAAACTCCCGCTTCCCATGTCTTTCTAGGAATGAGTGGGGGGGGGGGTGTGTGTGTTTAACCTTTGAAAAGCCATTTCACTGTTCCCTGTTTCATGGGTAAGTGCCTGGGAGATATTCAGCCACTTTAGGAATGTAGCAAAGTCTCCATTTTTTAAAGATGACTTTGATTGTGAGTGTGCCTTCTCTGCAGCCGAATTATTGCCAGGAAAGAAGTCCTCATCAGTGTTCCTGTGTGAAAGGGTGACATTACTCCAGAGAGCTTATTGTAACCAGCACTGGAACGTGCCACACTTTTACTTAAAACAGAGAAAGACATGATTGCATTTTATTAATGGATAGTTTTATTGACAAAAGAATGGATCTAAAATGTTCCGATCTTTATTGCCTTCTCTGAATGCTGGAGTGTCTTTTCCCCCCATGAAATGTTTTCACTGTTGCTTTCCTTTAAAGCCATATAGCCCATCAGAATGATTTTCAAGTCTGCCCCTACTTTGTTGGGCATGGAATAGGATCTTATTTCCACGGCCACCCTGAAGTCTGGCATCACGGTAAGAAGCTGCCTCCCGACCCTGCACCTTCCCTTTGTGTATCTTGGATTGCAGTTCCACCTCTCAGCAAAGGAGATATGCCCACTTTTTCATAGGGAGCCCAGCTGGGAGTGCATGTCTGGGGGCGGGGGTAAGGAATGGTCTATGCCCAGGATAAATTTGGAGTGGGTAATTTCTTTGAAACTATGGTCACATGTCCCATGCAAATGGAAAGGCACTGGAAATCAAGTATAATTTTTAAGCCAAGACCCTGATGTGGTATTTTCCTGACAGTTCCCAGGATTACTTTTGTTTGCCTCCCTCCTCTCGCCTACAAGTGCCGCGTATTGTTGCTCTGCTCAATTGCATCATTTCAGTACAGACGTCTTGTGAAGCAATGTGCATGGCTGCTCTAGGCTGCAGCACCCACCTTTCTTCCTTTGGTGTTCCTTTGACCAGAGGGGAAACCATGGCTGGAATGACTTGAGGGTATCTCTTTCATGAGGTGACTGCTTCTTTCGATATGTTGCCAGACCATGGGCCAACAGGACTCAAAACTTCCTGGAAAGAGTATGACTTATGGATCGAGGTCTGATCCTTATCCCCTTACAGTTCTATTGCATCTAAAATCTCATCTCTGTCAGTCCTCAGTTCAGGTTTAGCATTTTCACCTACCATGCCAAATATGCTGGTGGGGAGGGTTTGCTAACATCTGCTCCACCCCTGGTGACCACAGCTTCAACTGGTGGCTTTGAGAGGGGAAGCAACTATCACAGCTGAAGCAGCCCCCAAGCTTTTGTGTTCTTTCAACACAGTTAGCCTTAATGGAGGTGCTGGTGGTTTTTCACTGAGAGCTATGCTGGGATACATCAAATGGAACGTATACCTATGGGTAAATTAGCTGCAGGTTCTGCAGAAGAACCCTTGCCTGTGGAGGCCTTAAAGAGCCATCTCCTGGCGCACCCACTGAGCTTCTCCTGGCGGCGTGTGCTGATGTGAGCTATTTCCTAGAAGAGTTTGTGTGCCACGGAGCCTCTGGGCTGGGAGGTGGCACAGCCTGCATTGTATTTGTGCCGCTAATGTCAAGGGAACAGCAGGCTCTCCGAAATTAGCAGAGATGGGAATGAGCCCTCCTGGTTTACTAGTAATTCACTATTGCTTGACAAATAAGAGAGTTTGGATCCAGGCTTCTCTCCCAGTACAGCTATTGCTGTCCTATTAACTTCTGAGGTTAACTGAAGAATGAGCATGCTGGACCGGCTGTGAGCTGAGAGCTGATGAGTGACTGTACACAGCAACAGTGGAATAAGCAAGATCGGAAGTATAACGTGTGAAGCACAGAGGCCACGATGAAGAACAGAAGTTCCAGCTTGCTTTTGACACCGAGTCCAGTCCATCTCCTTTGTCTTGTTTCCCCTCTCAGTTGCAATTTTTGTGCAGGAACAAACAGTGCTCGTGCTAATTATTATTAGTAAAAGGCAGCCCCTTTTCATAACATCACCCACAGTTTTTGCTGCACGGGCCCTTTGAAGCAAAAGATCAGGACAGAAAGAAGCACTTGGAGGGGACCCAGGAGACCACACAGCCACACACGCATCGAAAAGATAGGCATGAGGAAGCAAAAGAGTTGGGACTTCAGCATTTTTCTACTTCCGCTGGGAAGTGAGGACTTTATTCCCAGTTAAAGGTGCACAGGGCGAATTTGGAAGTTAGCAGCTCTGTGGGTATTTGAAAAAATCCCCATCTTGCTTTGCTTAGGGGAAAGGGAAATTGCTATCCACTAATAATCAGTTTAAAAAAACAGCAAAACATAATCATCCAGTGTTCCCGGCCTCCTTGAAACTAGATAGCCTATGGCGGCAACCCCACACACACCTACTCATGAGTAAGCCCTCTTCGGCTCAACGCAGCTTACATGCAGGTAGGCATGGATAGGTTTGTACTGTACTTGCATTTTTCTGGGATGATTCCCACCCCACAGCCACGAATATAAAATTGGAAGGGTTAAGGGGAAGCGACAGTGACAATTCTCTGGGACTGTGGTGAGGGCAGCCTGAATTGGCTTGTATTCGGAATATTTAGCCAGGAAGCCGGCAGAAGAAAATGTGGTGGCCTGGTTCCCTTTGAGGAGTGTGTGGAGTTATTTTTGGACACCAATTCCTTGAATGCCCAAGAGAAACTCTGTGAAGTGTCCACCTTTAAAGTACTGGGAGTTTCCCTTCATATTAATAACGCATCTTTCTGTTTTATTTTGTAGAGAACGAAAGCGATTTGTTAATGCAAGAGGGCATGGCATTCACAATAGGTTAGTTAAAATTTGTGCTGGAGCAGGAACAGTATCAGGGACCACACTTAAAATCCACTAAAAATCATGAAGAGGCTTCCTCATAAAGGTATTAGGAGACCATTCCCGTTTGGATTCTACTGGCCTTTCCCACTGCTAACAAGGTGGAATGCATTTTATGTGTTCGCTTTAATTCTGCAAGATCCGACTCTGCTAATGTGAGCTGAACAGGATGCAATTGTTGTGGTGCCATCGAGGCCTACAGCAGTTAACATTTTGCTGTTCTCCGGGTGAAAGGGAAAGCAGCGCGGGCCTGGCACCAGTGCATGACCCGTGTTTGGATGAGAGCTGATCCTCACAACAGTCCTGTGGAGTAGATCAGGTGGGGTTAGTGAAACAAAATCCATCCTAGTTGTTAATCTAGCGCGGGAGGGGAGGGCGAAAGACGCCTCCCGTCTTCGTGGCATCCTTAAGTCGCGCCTGGGTGAGCGCCCTTGCGCCTGAGCCCGCTCAAGACGGCGCTCGGCTCCACGCGGCGGTGCCCCTTCCCGGCGGCCGGGAGCGCCCGTGCGCTGGTTTCGGCGGGGTCGCACAGCGAGTATCCAGTCAGCAGCCCTTGCCTGGGAGATTGAACGCACTAAATACCAATCATAGGGCGCTTATAAGGGGGTGGAAAAAATGTATTCCCCGCTCACGGTGTGCCTAAATGGCGCGGCAATTAGAGGAAAATAAGAAAATTGTTGTTTTGCTGATTTAATGAACATTTTAAAGCCTGCTTTAAAAAATTCAAATATTTTCATCCTGTCTGCTGCTTAGAGGAAAGTGGCTGGCGCTTTGGTTGTTATGATCCATGGGGATCTCAATTAAGGGTTGATTAAAATGCCCTTCTTCAGTCTTTAAAAACAGAAGACACCCAAGTTCAAGCTCGGAGGTTGCCACGTTGCCCGCTGCAGTTCAGTGGCGGGGTTCGAGGGGGCCCCTCGGCGAGGCTGAGGCCCACGGGTCTCGCCTGCCCAGGCGGGGGCCCCGGGGCGAGGCAGGAGGCGCTTGTGGGCCCGTGTGCCGCCTGGGCGTACTTCGGCGTTGCTTTATTTTGTTCTGCAGAGCCAATCATAATGGAAGGATCTTCTGAATTCAGAATCCTGGGGGACAACTGGACTGCAGTATCTTTGGACAATAAAAGGTGCTTATTACTCTGGTGGTGAGATTACACCAAACGGTTAGACCCAACCCGGACAACAGGGAAGGACCGAAGTTGCCGGGTGGCTCCCTCCCTCTCCCTACCCCGTTTTTTCCAATGAACTTCTCTCCACTATTGCGCCTCCACTTTGCTAATTGCTGCATGTGTATTTCAGGTCGGCCCAGTTCGAGCATACCATTGCGATCACTTCGAGGGGCGCAGAGATCCTGACGCGAGTGGCCGGAGAAGCGTGAGGGCCCGTGGAAGTGCCGAGGCGGCCTGGCGCGGGAAGGCGGCGATGCCCGCGGTTCGCCGGGGGAGGCTCGCAGGCGGGCCGTGGCTTCTCTGCGAGGCGTCCCAGCCCGGGCTGCGGAGGCGTGAGGCGGCGGGGATGGAGTCCCGCGGAAGTCCCTCGGGGCCAGGAGGAGGCGGCGGGCTCGCCGCGGCTTCCCGAGGCGGCTTCCACCCGGCGAAGGCCCCGGACGCGGCCGTCGAGGGAGCGAGGCCCTGCGCCGCCAGGAGCCGCGTCGTGGCGCGATTCCCACCCCTCCTTGGCGCTCGACGGCAGGGGCGCCTCTTCTTGGTGGGCCAGGCGAAGCATGAACTCCTCTCTGCGCTCGCCGGAGCGCGGCGTTGCGAGTGTGCTGTGCCGAGATCCCAGCGTGGCCATCGCCTCTCTCTCCTGGGCCCTGCTCCTCGTGTGCGTTTCCGGCCTTGGACGGGTGTATATAACTAACTCTCTCTATACAGGCACGCCACAAAAAAGGGAGGGCCGGTGCCCGGAGGCATTTGGAAATCAAATAAAACGGGCATCTTGCTCTTGCCAATCTGTCCGTGCTGCAATAGTCACGTACTTTATCCCCACGCGCGTCTGCTTCTGTGCTTTCAAACAGCCGGCGTAACTTTTTCGGGGCTATCTAGGAACGCAGCCATATCAATAAGTCAGAGTGATCCAGCGTTTTCCTTTCTGGTTTCGTTTGCTAGCCTCTCTTGCTGCCTATGAACAAAGTCTTGTTTTGTTTTGTTTTAGGAAGGTTCTGCAAAACGGGATGTGTGCGCGGAATGTTTGGCCCGGGGCTTTTGTGCCTGCCTTTCTGCTAGTTAAGGACGACTGCCCGCTCCCAGATGAACGGCCTCGCCGCTCGGGCTCGGGCTGGGCGAGGGAGGGAGCGAGGGGGAGGGGCCGCTCTCTGATCTCCCCGGCCAAGAATCAAATCTCCAGCTGTCCAAAATCGCAAGCTGAGCGAGCCCCAAGAAGAAGGAAGGAAAAGGTTTGATGATCTGCAATTAGGTGCTTCCTAATCACGCCGCCTGAATGCAGGAAAGGAAGCGTTTGAGATTCAAATCGGATTCAAAGCGGGCTCGCTCGCGGCTGATCCGGCCCGCACTCTCCGCAAGCTCCCCGGGCTGTGCTGGCTGGCAGCCCGTGCGAGGCTGGGAGGGCACGGAGCGCCCCGCCCCAGCCAAGGGCGCACCTCTGCTTTCCGTTGAGCGGCTGCCTGCCTGGGGGCGCAGCCAGCCGCCGCCTGCCCCTTCCAAGGCGTGCGCGGGTCCGGGGGGGAGGGGGAGAGGGAGTGGGAGGGCAGCGGGGGTCCTCTGAGGTCGGTCCGTGTGTGTTCCTACTCGCATCTCGAAAACGGGCAGCCTTTCCTTCCTGCAAGGAATATTGTGTGTGCGGAGCGGGGGTACCAAGGGAAGGGAAACATTTGCACACACAACGCGTCGACTCCTTAGGGGAACTGCGAGGCCACCAGGGATGGCGGTGGCAGCCCTTCGAAGCTGCAATTAAAATTTCCATCGAGTGGCTGGTTAGCGAGCCGTCTTACCTCCAGTCTGCAACTGTGTCCCAGCACACACCTCGCAAGTGCAAACACGGCTCTACTCCAGAGCAGACCCTCCTGGGAAGAAGTTCAGCCAACCTCCGAAGTGCCCTGTTAGCAATCTAGTGCCCGCAAGGCTGCGATCTTCTAAGCAAGCCCCATTACTTGAAAGTGAATTACATCGAAGTAAAGCTACTCGCAGCCCAGGAAAGGGTGATGGCGGAACAGTTCCCTTCCTTACTGCGGTATGTTCAGGCCCTGCCTGCAAAACCGCTTCAAGTCTAGGCTCCAGTTGCCCTAATGAACTCCTGCACTGAATGCCTGGGAAAGAGGAGTGCTGTTATTACATTTGTATCCCACATCATCATCATCATCATCATCATCATTAGATTTATATCCCGCCCTATTAGCCAAAATGGCTCTCTTTTTCCACTTGCGAGGAACCGAAGGCAGCTGACATGCTCTTCCCCCTCTCCATCTAGTCTCCACGACAACCCCACGAGAGGGGAATCAGTCCAGTCACCCAGTGAACTTTATAGGCAATTGAGGACTAAAACCCGGCTCTTTTGCTCTTGAAATCCCGGGCGCTCTTGCCGATAGCTGCACCAGGGGTGGCTGCGCCTCCGCGTGCCGTGGGTACAGGCCAGCCGCTGCACCGTGCCTTAGGCAGCGTCCCCCGCGCGCCTCCCCTTCTCTGAGTTCAGTCGGGCTTACTGCCTTAAAGCTGCCAACGGGTTGCTTCAGTGAAACGCAGAGGAGCCGAACTTGGGCTGAATCGGGGCCAACGCGGACAGCAATCCCAGACACACTGTCTGGAAGCAGCTTTCCCTCCACTCCCTGGGAAAGCGGAGCCCTCCGCTTTGGCGAAGCTGCTTTGCCTTCCTGGCTTCGCACCAACAGCCCTAGTAGGCAGCCCAGCCCCAGCGTGTCTCGGGAAACTGAGGCAGGCAGCTCTGACTTCTCTAAGACCAGCGGAGGGAGCGGACATGACTCTGGCCCTTCCAGATCGCAGGAGAAATCCCCTGAACGCTACAGTAAACAGCTTCTCCATGGACCTAAACTGAAAACCCAGCTCCGGTTCTGCAGAATAATCCTGCCCAGCACTTCCCAGGACCAAAAGTCACCGCTGGATGCAAACAAGCTTCACACTGCTGAGTCAACATATTGCGTTCGAGACAGGCGACCCTTTACCATGTGTCCCATCTGGTCCTTTGGTTGCTGCTGCTCTTGCCACCAGCCACTCTTTCCCCTCTGGTGCTTCCCTTCTCTGCCGCCCAGATTTGGGGGGGGGGGGGCATAGGGCAGGGGGAGAGCACCTACTTTGCATACCAGAAGCCTCGGTTCGATCCCCAGCATCCCCGGGCAGGGCTGGAAAAGCACCTGCCTGCAATCTTGGAAAGCCTCTGCCAGTCAGTGTCTGAAATATTGTTCCAGCTGGACCAAAGGTCCAACTGCATACAGGGCAGCTTCTGATAGTCCCAAGGCGGGAAGTGCCCAAGAACGGGCCAGAAGGGCTCTGCAGAACATGCCACCAAGCCTTCCCCGACATGGCACCCTCCAGATATTGCGGACCAGAATGCCTAGCATTGGCCAGGCTCCCTGGGCATGAGGACAGCCGAGTCTGGAACACCTGGCGAGCGGGGGAAGCGAGGGCTGGGGTGCGAAGGCGGAAGACCCCCTCGCCCTCCACGAGCAGGGCTGCTCTGCAACCTGGACCAGGCTAGGACAGGGCTCTGGGTTTCGTTGCCCGCTTTTCCCGGAGGTCTCCCCACCCGCGGTTAATTTCATTAGGACTTCAGGATTTTACCAACTGCTGCGGTAACAAGCTGTTTGCGCAGCAATTAGACCGAGGTAGTGGCATTTGTGGCGCACATGTATAAGCCTTAATTAGAAAGGTGAGTGCAGGAAGGTTGGAAGCGAGCGAGGGAGAGCGCGCCGCGCACTCGGGGACGCGGTTGCCGGGTTTTCTGCGGGAGAGCGAGGCGGTCCCTTGGGCCGGGCCTGGCCGGGCCCGGTGCCCTTCCTGGGTGCCCCTCCCGCGCCGACCCGTTGCACTGGAAAAGCGGCTCGATGAATTTCCGGGCGAAGGAGACTCCAGCCACCTTCCCCTCGCCCGCACAACGACGGCAGCGGTCCTTCTGTACTCCAGACCCGCCGCGGCGCTGGGCCCGCACAAATCCCGCTCAGCCACGTTGGTCTACACCGTCTGTTTATTTAGCTCGAGTCTGAATAGGTTTCACATTCAGAATTAAGTCTCTCTGTGTTAAACGGGAGGCAGGCTAAAAACAAAACAGAAGCAAAGCAAACGCAAAGCAAACGACGCAAGCGGGTCCCTTCACGGCGCCACCCCTAAACGAATAGGCGAGAGGCTTAAAGAGACCAGGGACTCGCAGTTAGGCTGAAATGATTCGGATCGAGGAAGGGACGACTTAACCCGCTTGTGGATCGCTCATAGGCTGCGCGCGCGCCCCTGCCCATCCCTTCGGCATTTGCTGGACCCCTGTGGTTACTTAAAGGAATGACGCGTCTCGCAACCGAAGGAGCACTGGCAATCCTACACGCGCTTATTCGAAAATCCGCTCTCTCAAAACAACGAGACTTAGTCTTGGGACCGAGGTTTAAGCCGAAATATGCTATTATTTTCTCTTTCATAAATTTTAACGAGTGGGACGAAGCTCACTTCCGCACCTTCATGCACTTTACCCTTTCGAGTCCCTCTGTGACCGTGCGTGTGCGTGTGCACCACTCCATATATCACACTTCTGGTTGTTACTGCTGGGTAGAAGCATTGCGCGGGCTTTACCCCAAATCTCTGTCCCCTGACGAACTGATGGGGTATTGGACCTGAAACTCGTGCTCTCTCTCTCTCTCTCTCTCTCTCTCTCTGTGTGTGTGTGTGTGTGTGTCTGTGCGCGCGCGCGCTGCGTGCAAGAGAGAAGGGATGCTGCAAGGCGCAATCCATGCGCTTTCTTTGGAGCGCAGTAACCCTCGCCCCACCTCGACATGCCCACTTTGTTTACCGGAGGCGCAACTGGAGAGCGGGTCAGGCGGAGAGAGTTCCCCCGCGTTGCTAGAGATCAGCCCGGATTAGTGGCAGCGGAGGACAGGCGGGGGGGGGGATCCCACGGCACGATCTGGCCCCGGTGGAAGAGGTGCCAAACCTCCGTGTAGTGCTCTGCTCCTGTGCAATCTCTGCCCCCTCTTTCTGCTCTCAACAACAGGGGAAAGGGGAGGGACTGAGGCAGACGCAGCACCTGCCCCCGAAATTTCCGCAGGAGCCCCGAACTTTCTCCACTCGGTTCTGAACAGTTTGAGGGATCCTCCTTAGGGCGAGGAAATCTGCAGAAACTCGTCCTACCCGGAACCCCCCCCTCACCCGACCGGTTTTCCCGACCTTTGGGACGGTCACTTACGCGCTCCGGTCTCCACGCGAGAAAGAGTGCCGGGCTGGTCTGCAGGTGCGCGGCGGCTGGCGCTGGCAAGAGCGAGCGTCTCCCCGCAGCCAGACTGGGACGGCGCGGGTGGGAGGATGTGGGGCAGGAATAGCTGAGCCCCCACTGCAGAAGCTCTCCTGAAGGGAGGCTGGGTGGATCCGTTTCAGCCTGGATCAGCCTCCCCAAGGACCTGCGAAGCAAGGAGGGTGGGGAGACCACGTTCTGGGGAGCTCAGTCGGACCTCGCTTTTCCTGCCCCCACCCCGGGCCCCAGCCATCCGCAAGCAAGCAAGCAAGCAAGCAAGCAAGCAAGCAAGCAAGCAAGCAAGCTGCTCGCAGCCGCTTGAAAGTGAGCGAGCCAGAGCCAGAGCGAGAGAGAGAGAAATAGAGCGAGCGAGCGAGCGGGGAGGGGAGGCCTCCCCGCTAATATCTGTAACGCCATCAGCAATGTAATTTGTGTTGAATGTTCATTTTTATTGGTGTTCTCCCTTCGCCAAAATGTGTGCTTGATTACATAGACTGGGTCCTGCGCGCGCCCTCCACAAAGCTAGGTGTAGCTGGGGGGTGGCGAATGGGGG